GGTAGGTGACAAGAGAATCGTGAATCGCCGCGTGCGACGTCGCTTCCGCAAGTGACGATGGTTTCAGGTTGTATAAGGCGACAACAGGCAATGTGGAACCAAGAATGGTCATAATTTGTCCACAGTTTCGCAGCCCACGTGAAATCCGGTGCTCCAATCGACAGGCTAACAGAAATCAAGAGAAGGCCGCGCCCATCGCCGCGCGCGGCGGAGCGGCGAATTACGATTCTCTTGCCCGTCTCCCGTTGGTCCGCGTCATTCGCCAGCGTTTTAAAAAAAAAATGAGGAACATCCGTTTGCTGGTTCCATGGGTTCTCCGTAGCAAAGTGGAAACACAACCTAACTAGAAACATAGCCACGTCGTACTTCGGGACCAGACGTCAAATGGCCCGAGCAGGCAGGTTTATCTAAATTTAGGCGAAAAAGGTGGTTTCGTCGAATGGAGTCGTCACCAAAAACGGATATCAGGGTGTAGCCAAAATAGGTAAAGTTTCAGCAATTTTTTTTCGAACTTTTGGGGCAGTAGTAGTTGAATAGTGCCGATATTTGCATAGCACGAGTACTCTGAAGATTCCATTCCTGATCCTAACTATAAGACTGAGAACGGGCATTTGTGTGGTGATAATTGGTCCCTTAGGATAGGATTAGCATGCCCGCACTCCAAAATCTGGCCCATCGCCTGTGCGCGCGAAAACCAAGCGTTCAAATATGACTCTTCATTACTTTTCGTTTATACAGTTGTTCACTTTGTTTCCTGTCTTCCGTTCTTCCTTGCGCACATATTTCATACAAATCACTTCATTTTCCATACTTTCTTAACTCTGATTTGTTCCAGAGACATGGCGGAGTTGTTGTCGGGTGTAAAAATCCAGTTGAAAGACGGTAGCCAAGTGGATGCCGGCGATTATCTCAAAGGAAAGGTTCGTTTGATGTTAAATACTGATGTTTCTTGAAAAGGTAATGGTAAGTAAGTAGTACCACATGGTTTTCAGATGGTCGGTCTCTACTTCTCCGCCAGTTGGTGTCCTCCGTGTCGAGCATTCACGCCAAAACTGAAGGTAAGATTTTAGTCGTTGTTCGTTTTTTATTATACCTTTTCTTCATTGAAGTCGATCATCGCTTTTGATATATCAGTGAGTTACAGCTCACATCATCCGTCAAGGATCCTTAACCGGGGGGTCATATTACGGTCTGTCGCGAGATAATATTCTTATTCCGTTCTTTGAGAGGAGGGTCTGAAGGGTATGAAGATCTGGAATTTTTTTGGAGGGGGAATAGAGTTTCCCGCCTCTATTCGCCTGCATTTCCACAGGTTTTACCCTCTTCCTTTCGTGAGTCTTCACTTTGCCAAGAAAACAGGAATAACATTTATCGAAATCATTGTGCTATACCTAAGGTATACCACACCCTATTGACTCTTTCCATCGCTTTAGGTAAATACCCTGAAACATGAAAACAGGCTTTTCTTGCGATTTCTCTATGTCATTGTTTTTTTGCCCATCGTTTCCAAAGCCTTACTATTCCACATTTTCTTCAGAATTAGAAGCGTAGATTGAAACAAAGCAACGGACATTTTCAGAGATTCTACGAAGCCGTCAAGGAGTCCCATCCGCGAATTTGAAATTGTTCTCGTGGCATCGGCGGGCCGACCAAGGAGCCGATGAATTGTTGATACTATGTGAACATATGGGAGACTGGGCGTTCATTCCATTCGGAGATCCTAAGATAGAGTGAGTTTTTGTGCCAAAAAGTTTCCTTGGTAGCGTTCAAACCTTGTGTATCCACTGAGATGAGAGGATGAAGCTGCTGAATGTAGAGTGGGGATCCTCTTGAAATGTGCGCATTTTTTCTTTGGAAACCAGAGGAATCCACGAAAAGAAGTTGGATTAATATCGATTGACGGGGAATCGAAGAGTGGATTTGATATCTGTGCGACTTTTTCCCGCGCGTATTCTCCGATTCTTTAAATTCCCGTTTTCTCCAGTGTCACAACGTGTGACGCAGATTCGCTGTGTTCAGACCTCGCTATGACGCGCGTCGACGCGCTACCGTCGCAATCGCGCCTCAATCTAGGGTCTAGGGTGCATCGTAGGCGGGCATCCATCAAGGTTGGCGATACTGCTTTGAGGAAATATAGCAAAAAAAAGTCTAAGAACAAAATGTCTGCGAAGCAGTCGCTAGCACACTGCTCACGCCTAATCACACGCCTATTTTTCGTCCGTATCACTTCTCCGGAGAAAAAAAAAACCACTATTGGCCGCTCCCATCATTACCCGCGAATGGCTGCACCCTGTCATGCACGTAAGAGCCCACTGCAACGGTAAAGCGATGACGCGTGTGATCGCGAAGTCTGAACACCCTTAGTGATAACAAAGGCCATGTCTGTTTTTTAGAGAACTTTTGGAAAAATACAACGCGAGAACGATACCCGGTATGCGCATAATCAAGCCAGATGGAACTGTCGTAGTAAAGGATGCTCGTACTGAAGTACAGGTATGTTTTTACGTACTTCTATTCTTATGAAAATGAATTGCTGTGCTTCAGGAAAAGGGCTCTGATCCAGAAGCTTTATTTGAAGAATGGGAGGCATTCTACATGTAAACGTTACTACACTAACACCTTTCAACAACTAATCCTGTGAATCCCCCGAATTATTTGCGCTTGTATCGCTTAAGTACGGTTATATTTCGGTTACTGAGCATTTTGAATGTTGCTATTTTGTAAGTTGTTCCGAACGACATTTGTGCAGTGTATCCCCTAAACAAATAAAGTTTCGAACTCGCGATATGTTTGTTACATACCCATTCCTGAACGAATACAAATCGTTCATTAATTAAGGTTCCTCTAGGGCGTGTAGTAGCGCAGCGATTGGTTTCTTTGTATTTTAAAGACAGCTCCCGCGATAAAAGTGTCAAGGATAATTGCTGATCAATTATGAAACAGTAGCTGATAAGTAATTCCTCAATGAAGGAAAAAAGCAACAAGAGCCCTCAAGAACACCACAAACAAAATTGCTCCCTTACAGTTACACCGCCCTGCGGTCCGTGGGCAACCCCTGGCTCACAAATCGCTTTATGGCATTTCCCAGTAGTGGACAACATCCATTCAAAGAAAAGAATATGAAAAACAACAAAGACACGAACGAAAAACACTTGAAAAAAGGAAAAATTCAAAAACCTGGCGTCCGAATTTGGGGTTACGTGCAGTGTGCAGCTTTTGGTGCATGTCGAGCTTTTGCACCACAGAAATTGCATCATTTTACGCGTTTTACCTTACGAGATGGGTTGCAGTTGACTGTATGTGCTCCCAATGAATAAAATGTGATGAAGGAGAGCAGAATTATTTATGGGCAGAGCGCGGTCAGCAAAAATGGACATGCGATTGTCGATTAATGCCCGCCGCCCCAACAAAGAACAACTGAGCGGCCCTGCACCAGATGTGGAGAGGACATCTAGCAAGTGGGCGGTTCAACTGAGCGAGCATTGGAGCTAGAACTTTCAGCGGGGTCTACGGACAACTTGAACTCAATCCCTTTGAACGCGTCGATCTTCTCTTTTTCTCTGCACTCTCTCGTCCGCATGGCACTCTATGGCTCATTGTGACTTCGCACATTCCAGCTTTTCACGTATGATAAGTGGCTCACCCACCTCGGAGTCCCCATGAAAAACCCGTTTCCTGGCTCGCCATACGTTTTTTTGCACGTTTCGATGCTTTGGCAGCCGCTGCCCTCTATCCGTCTGCGTCACAGGGTTTCGTAACAGGACCATGCACAAGAGTTCAAGATGTCACGCAACCTTTCAGCGGCCGTAGCACCCTGCTCGCTTACTGTGGAGTCGCGAAAGTGGGACAGTCTTTTAGCTGGGGGACTACTTGCACGAGGAAGGACGACCAGGAATAACTTGAGCGGTGGCTGTATTCAAAAGCGCATCCCGCACCAGCAAAAAATAGTCCTTACTAGACACTGCCTGGTTCGCTGACCATTTTGAGTAGGAATCAGATATCTGGGCCCTGTAACGAATAAATGTCATTTTTTGGGAAGCAGTAGCTTCCTCTATCTGTGTTCTACTACATTTTCGGTTTATTATTAGCAATAAGTCTTCAGAGGAACATGGGCTTCACACCTTTGGCAAAAAACCAGCTCATCTGTCAGTCCAGGACGTTATCATACCTTACCATTGTATTAACGATCTAATCCGGCGGCTAGCACGAAATCATGTCGTGTTCTATTTATTGCTGTTGAAAAAAACCGTGAGAGTATAAATTGCCTGGCCGTGGTATAAAACACCTGCAACGCTCTTCTCCTGCCGCATTCCTTCTCAGATCTCCAACATGTCTTGTGGGCATGTCTTCAACAGCGGTCTTAGCATGCTCTTCGGCTGCAATTAGTTTAATAAATGAGCAATTAAGGCGTATGCAGTCATACTATTCGCAGGACAGCCATAACAATAGGTCCCCATCGGCATTTCACGGCCGTAGTAGTACAGGGGTTTGGTACCCGCCGAGTGCCAGCAGTCCGGCCAATTTTTGGTTTTTCGGCCGATCTGCTTCAATTCGCTCTACTGCTCAGCATCAAGAAAAACCGTCATATTGATCAAGGCCGAGCGGAGTGGTTTCAATAAAAACGCTCTTTCGTTGTTGTCTGAAACCTTCACCAACAATCCGACCTACATACAGTTGTTATCTTGCAGATGGTTTGAAGAGGGATGGACTGTCCCCTCCTGCGGCGTTGCCACCACCTCTTGTTTCCGTCCTGAATCGATCGCTGGCCGATCACCACTGGTAGAGCAAATCAGTCAGAGGAGGGTTCATCCTGCCCTCCTCCCGCCGCTTCTAGCTGATTGCAATGGTGCATATCTTATACTTACTCTTATACTCTTATTCTTGCTTATACCTCTGGTTTCTAAGCATTCAATTACTCCTTACTGCGGACAACTACCTTTATTTACTAGTATATTTAGCTGAAGATTATGCCTTGCTGGGTGTATGCCACACGAAAAGTGTCTTTGAGAGTTTCGGCAACTAGACTGACTCTCATCTTTATTCTCCTTTATCTGCCTGTGATAATAGCTTTGTTGCAATGCTTTAAGGTAATGCTTATTTACATGGCGATAGTGGTTGGCGTAATGGCAGTGGTAGAAGCACCACCACCGAAAACAAACACAGGGATCACTCCGATACCGTTCGACAAGATCAACCCTAGAGCCAACGGTTAGTGCATATCCCTTGAAGTTTAGTCATCAACTCTTTTATCCTATACCCCTCCTGGCACCACGCCCAGAAATTTCCTTAGGTGCAGTTGCCAGAGAGCCGAAAGGTAGGTTATTGCAAGGAATGGATCCTCATGGTCGATGAATAATGTTATTCTGAAAAGAAAGTTGGGTGTTGCCTACAGATCAGTGCCTGCAACAACGCTCATGGCCGCAGCTCCAAACCAGCAGAAGAACCGTACCTTCCTGCCTAGATAAATCTTACTATACATAAATGCTCATCACATCGGAGAGTTGCTACCGTACTTTGAAGTTTTGTCGGGAGAGAGAGGGGTGTCCAAGAGTACGCTCCTAGATGGCTCTGTATTCCATGTCGACCCTCCTCCCTATATGTACGTCTCTGCCTCTCTTGCAGCCGTCACCGGGCGTATTCAAATACGAATTTTCTGTTCTAGATATGGACTGTAATTTGTGGAACATACGGGTACTACGGCTATTGTACTCCCGCAGCCCGCACGGAAACATAAGTGACGGCAGAAGTAGCTGATTTCCTGCGTGCAACAGTGGGGCGGTGGTTTTCGCCAGAGAGGAAAGATACTCAAAATTGCCACGATGAGAATTTACTATTGCTCATCACATCTCTGTGAACATCCACGGTTCATCCGAAATCAGTTAGCTCACGATTACTTCAGCATGAGAGGATTAAGTTTTGAGAAGCCTACAATACAGATGTTCTATGGTCATGACATTACGAAAGTAAGCGAATGAAATGTGTATTTAAGAGTTTCGACGTCTGGATACCGACGGAGACGAGCAGATAACGTTCACCGAATTCATTCTTGGTGACCATCAGTACATTGAAAAACAATCGGCCGCTTTTCACAAGCTCGACGAGGATGGTGAGCTCATTTTAATTTAGTGTAGTGTAATGTAATGTCTATAAGAAGAATCTGGGTATGGGGTTGTTGTTCACAAATTTGAAAATACTTGAATGTCCAACAAGAAGCATAAGCCTTTCACAGGAGATGGTGTGGTATCACGTGGTGAGTACGACACCTACTATAAACGTATGGACGACGAGCGTAGACGTAATGATATGGAACGTGAACGCTTTTTCGAAGGACTTGTAGGTTTCCATCGGGACCCAGCTCTTCAATTCTTTAGCGCTGGAGGTCAGGACCCGCACTATCAAGACAGATTTCGTAGGCGGAGTAGTGATTCGGTTAACGATTTTTCTCACCCACGTTCATCTTTCCAACATTTTGAAAAAGTTTGGTGAGCTCCATGTTTGGGTGACAAAGATAAAATGTATAAAAATGAACAGCTGAAATCGTAGATGACTTGATGAAGAATCTTCCAACTCTTCAAAGCGGTACAACACAGTTGTTATGTTAATTGATTCTAGCGTCTGGTAAGAAATTGACGAAGAGCGTATCCGAAGAAAGAGCACCGGCGCATCTCGCCTAAGCCCACAAATACAACAGCTGCTGTTCTCAGTTCAACTTCTCATCTGCACTGAACGCTTGAATAATTCTGTGGAGATCGTATATAAAGTTTCGCATCGCTTGAGTCAGGTTTCAGAATGCGTTTTCGATAAGATCGGACTAGCTGAAATGAGCCTGTATGAGGGTGATGTTTAGTTCAAGAAAAAATGAACTAATCAAAATTTCAAGCAATTAACCATAACATATGTTGAACTTGTGAGATTAGATGCCAGCTCAAGAGTACACCTTCAGGTGGCCAACACTACACGCACTGAGATAGACTTCTATAAACTGAGTAATGTGGCTATCATATGCTCAAGGTAACCTGGAGGTGAAACACCTCTTAAGCATTGTAGATGTTTGCAGACCATGTAGTAAGCCTCTCTGTGAAATCTGCGAGGAGTTGCCAGTAAAACAAAGATGGCGACTATTAGAGGGAGGAACTACTCAATCAGCGCTTACCGGTAACCGTATAGCACACACGCACGCGTTCACCTCCGTGCAGCCAAAACATCTGATGGAATGCTTGCTGGCATTTCAATCGAGTGTCCTACATAGTTGCAGGATCGCTATATTTTCGATGGGTACTGAAGAGGGAGGGAGCTTTGTTCTGGCGATAGGGGATTTAGAGGATAAACAATATTTCATGTCACTACATAGGGAATTTATAGCGGTCAGTCTAGCATCAGCTGCGTTGATCGGATTTCCTGATGGATCTGGTACCATCGGCACCCCCAGGAGTGAGTTGCCGTACAGTATCACCAGAAGTCCTTGAAATTTTATTGTTTCTTCTAAGTCAGCAGGTGGCCCGCAACTATGTAGGACACTCGATTGAAATGCCAGCAAGCATTCCATCAGATGTTTTGGCTGCACGGAGGTGAACGCGTGC